TAAAGGGGAACTAGGGATGTGGCTCAGTGGTTAAGAGCCTCTGGGTTTAAACCTTAGTACTAAAAATAAATAAATAAAATTCAGAGTTAAAAAATAAAATTTTGACCATGAAAATTTCAGATCAACTCTTCCAACCCAGCCCTTCTATTTTAGTAGTTCATAGCTTCTATTTGTTGAGAACAGAAATTTTTTTCCCTTAAAAATGCTTATGAAATTCCAGTCTAATCCATCCATAGGAAGATCCCAACTTGCTGGGTAAATCTCATGTTGAAAGCAAAGTACCAGGGCTGGGGATGTGGCTCAAGCGGTAATGCGCTCACCTGGCATGCGCGGGGCGCTGGGTTCAATCCTCAGCACCACATAAAAATAAAATAAAGATGTTGTGTCCATCGAAAACTAAAAAAAATCAATATTTAAAAATTCCAAAAAAAAAAAAAAAAAAAAGGAAAGAAGCAATGTATGTGCTCAAACTTAATCTTCACTCTCAACAAAGGGTGCAGGCAGATTCTGACTGGCCCTGTGTCTATAGGAAGGACACCTCAAAAATATAGATCGTTGGGGGTTGGGATTGTGACTCAGTGGCAAAGCGCTTGCGTAGCATGTGTGACGCACTGGGTTTGATTCTCAGCACCGCGTATCAATAAATACAATAAAGGTCCACTGACTACTAAAAAATATATATTTTTTAAAAATATAGATCTTCTACACCTATGCACCCTGAAATAAGAGGGATAGAGTATAAGCTTCACCCAATAAGGGGTTGAACAGACAGACAAAAAGATACATATAATTATGCCCATCCCAGATAATTACAGCCTCTTGTTCTGATTTTTAGGAATAAATATACAATTAATTTCTTGTAAATGTAAACTGCTGGATATACAATGCCTCACTCTTGGATACCTAAGTTTTATCAGTATCTTTAAGAAAAAAATAAAATGTGAGCTGGGAGTGCAGTGTTTGTCCAGTATTTGGGAGGCCCTGAGTTCTATCTGTGGCATTGGCCAAAAAATGAAGTGCCTAAAAGTGAAAGTGAAGTGGATAATACAGATCTTTTTTAAAAAATAATGGTTATCAGCTCTTAATTGCTTTTAATTTTTTCCAGACACCAGTAATAATTACTATTTAGGTATATTTATTTTTCCAAACTTTTTACTTTGAAAAATCGCTCAAATTTATAGAAATTATTACTACATCAATGTGTTAATTATAAAATTTTAACTCTATTTTCAAATGAGCAGATTCAATCCAAAATTTTTAAATTATTTTTTAGTTGTCAATTTACTTTTTTTTTACTTTATTTATATGTGGTGCTGAGGATCGAATCCAGTGCCTCACACACGCTAAGCAAGAGCTCTACCACTGAACTACAATCCCAGCCCTCAATCCAAATATTTATTTTCAAATTTCCTTGCTCTTCATCCCAAATTTGTATTTTCAAATTTTCATGCTCTTGAAGGTATCTCTGCATATTTGAAACTGGGGTATATATTTGCTGCATTCACAAGAGTATTGCTCTTCAGTTATTTGTGTACTGGGAACAAATCCTAAGTATTTTAATACCATAACAAGAAGGGGAGCTGGGGATTGGCTCAAGCGGTAGCGCGCTCGCCTGGCATGCGGCAGCCCGGGTTCGATCCTCAGCACCACATACAAACAAAGATGTTGTGTCCACCGAAAACCAAAAAATAAAAAAAATTTAAAAAAACACAAGAAGGGGAATGTGTGCCATTAAAATAAAAAAAAATAATAATACATATTCTCTTTCTCTCCAGTGTGAGGCAATGTGGCGAGGCAGGGGCCAACTATGAGGCAGTCAGGGATCTCTAGCACAGAAACTGCCCAGGAGTAGAGTACCTTGTGGGTTTTTTGTTTGTTTCTTTAAACAAGTGACATTAGACTACCTTATTGAAAGCAGTTTCAAACAGTAATACAGCTGTAATTCCAAATACAGAAAGAATGAAAACTAATGAAATGTATTTATGCCAGTGTCCTGAGTCACTCTATGTCTGAGACAGAGTAAAGTCAACATAACCCTCAACCAAGTTGTGGAACTAGAAGGTGAAATTCCCCCAAAGTCCCCCCCACCCCTTGCCTGCGAGGGATTCTGGCATCCGCACAGAGGGACGATGCAAGAACCGTTCAGGGTGCAGCCGATCTCCGGACGCGAGGCCGGGTGGGGAGAGAGGCCTCGGCGGGGCCTGGCCAGGGCCTCGGCTGCTGACCAGGCCGGCCGCCCCTCCCGGGGCCCAGGAGCGCGGGCAGCTCCAGCACCAGGCCCTCCGCCCCTCGAACAGGGCGAGTGGACCCAGCGTCCCCCCCGCGGGTCGCACTCCCTGGGCCAGCCCTCGGGGGCTTCTCTGGGCGCGACGCCTGTCAAGGGCGGGTCTGCAGAGGGTATTCGCCCGCGCGCAGCAGGACGCAACGGGAGCGGCGACCTACCCCTGCGTGGGGGTCGCTGTCCGCCCCGAAGGCCGTGCGTCCGCGGTGGCCTTCGCCGACCTCCGGCGGTCGGGAGCCCTGGCGTACCCCGCCGGCCCAGTCCCCCCGCCCGGCCTGCTCGCCGTCGAAGTGAGGCCGCTGGCCCGGCTCACCTTGGGACCTTGGGGGGGCACGCGTGGGTCGTTCCACGTCGTGGTGCGACTGTTGTGGTCCACGAAGAAGGGCCAGCCGGTCTGCGGGTCGATCTTGATCTCCCAGCCGGGGGGCAGGGGGTCGCGGTCACCGGCGCCGTTGCCGGACGCCATCTGCACCATGGGCGAGTGGGTGGCAGCGCTCATGCTGGGTCGGGGTCGGGCCGCAGCGGCCGCGGGACGCGGGGTCGCGGGGTGCGGACACTTCGCTGCCGCCGGTGGAGCGAGAGCTCTGCGCGCCGCCGACGTGTCCGGGAAGCCGGCCCCGGGCACCTTTATGAATTAAAGGACTGGGTGACGTGGCCGGAGAGGGGTGGAAGTGTCTGGAAATAGCCTCCTCGCTGCCAAAGGGGAAGGAGGAGATAAAGGGAGGTAGCAACTGGCCGGCTAGAAACTTCTGGTCCCATCCAGAGAAGTTGGCGGCCGCGCGGGTTGGATGCGGAGCTCCGCCCTGAGTCATCGGCTATAATCGTGGCGCCGCGGGGCGGGGCCGAGCCAGGGGCGGGGCCGGGGCGGGGCTCGTATCCCCTCCCCCACCCCTTCCGGGTCCTCCCTCTCTCCCCGGAGCTGTCCCAATCGCGTCCCCGCGAAGGGATCACCCAGAGGTGGACCTGGGCGCCTGGCCGGCCCGGGGCGTCCTCTGTGCGCCCGGGCGGGTTTCGGTCTCCAGCCTCGCTGCCTCCTTCGCGCCGCGTGGGTGTTCCCGGGACGGGAGGCCGCGCGCTGCCCCTCCTCTGAATAAGATAGAAGTCGTCTTCAAACTAGGGGAGTCGCGCCCACCTCCAAACCCTCATACACTGATACTCGGGGACCCTGGCGTCCCTTGGTGACGTTTAAAACACTTTCTCTCAAGGGCGCAAGTGCTGTCCAGGAGGAGCTCGGGAACACTAACCTGACACCATGACGAGCCTGGAAGAAAACGGAAGTGCAGAGGAAAAGAACCTGCCTGCCTTTGGAAACCTAAAGAAGAAATCATATCGACTGATGGTTTTATTCTTGAACCTCATATCTGTAATAGAGGAACATACAATGCGGGAAACAATTTTAAAGAAAAATCACATTTCTTGTTTTTTTTTTTTTTTTTTTTTAATAGTAGAGGTTGGTTCTTGATGTCTTGATGTCTTAAATCTATACCCTTTTTTGGAAAGTAGGCACCAAACCAAACCATGAAAATTCTTTATTTGGTTGATTCAATGGCAGTTTCACTTGTAACCTCACAAGCACCCTGATTCTCCAATGTATTCCAGAAAGAATTTGGGGAGGTGCCAATTTAGATCCTTAGGCATGACGACTCATTCTCGTTCCTCAGAAATGTCTTGAACTAATATTGGGCCTGATTTCCCAACTCGAATTCAGAGAATATTCTGGAGTTGGGCTGGTGGTGGGCCTGTAATCCTAGCTATTTGGAAGGCTGAGGCAGGATAGCATGAATTGGAGGTCTGCCTGGGCAAATGATACAGACCCTGTCTCAAAAAAAAAAAAAGAAAGAAGAAGAAGAAGTAGCAGTTGGAGGAGGAGGAGGAGGAGGAGAAACAATCCTCAGGTCTTTTCCTGCCCTCAGATTATTCCCCTGGAGCAAATACTAGAGAGGTCTGCCAACCCTTTCTAGTGGGATTATTCCCACTTGCAAAGGTCTTATTTGCTTTGAAGCCGTAAAAGTGCAGAGGTGATCAGGCCTCAGGGACTGACTCAGATCATGAAACATAAGAAGGATCCATGTACAAACTTGGATGCCTGCACACTAATTTACCATGAGAAATCTGGTGGTGATAGGGCTGGGTTCCATCTCCACCATCCCCAACACCATTAAAAAAAAAAAAAAGTTACTGTTGAAGGAACTGGGCCCTCAGGTTCAGGGGTCAGTGAACTTATATGCTTATGCTTCCTTATATCCGAAGCCCTGAGCACAGTCCCTACCAATAAACATTGTTGATGTTCATGAAGATTGAATCCAAAGTGAATTTTTCTTTCTGTCTTCTTCTTTGCCTAGTTTGCTTCCCACTACAACTACAATTAAACACCGAGAGTGCATTCTGCTGGCCAGTCCCCTTAGAAGGGAAGGAAACAGGTACCTCTGGGATTAACATAGCAGCTTCTGGTGATTGTACTGTACTCTACTGGGACTTCAAATGGGCTTCTTTAAAATGGAGGCATATGCTCCGAGAGCTGGCTGGAAGAGCTCCTTCGAGCCATTCTGAATAAGGAGTGGCATGTCTGAGTTCAATGGCTTTTTTCCCTCCTGGTCTTAGGACACTCATTCCATGGCCTCCTGAAGATCTCTTGCCCAGATCAGAAGTTCAAGTCTAACCTTGAATTCCCTTTCTCTCTCACCGTCCAGTCATCACCCCTTCCTAAATATTACTTAACTCAGTGTGCTCTTATGTGTTTTCAGTGCCATCAACTTGTCCAGGTCACCTTTGCCTCTCATCTGGACACTGGCACAACCTCTTGTTGGTCTCCCAGCCTCTAACCTTGTCTGTCTCTATTCACTTGCCTGTATGTCAGCCAGCATGATCTTTTCAAGCACAAAATGGACCTTGTCCTTTCTGTGGTTAAAATCCATCCATGTGGGCTGGGGCTGTAGCTCAGTGGCAGGGTGCTTGCCTAGCATGCGTGAGGCAATGGGTTAGATCCTCAGCACCACATAAAAATAGACAGATAAGATAAGGGCATTCTGTCCATCTACAACTACAGAAAAACATTTTTAAAAAATCCATCCATAACTCCCATTGCCCTCTCGGAATGCAAGTTCACATTCCTTGTCCTGTGTACACAAGGCCCTTCCTCCTAGTCCTGGCACACTCTGGCTGCCCCTGCAAACTGTGTCATGCACACACATGCACACACTGCTTCCTCCACCTGGACAGACCTCTCCCCACCCCACCCCCACCTGTTGCTCCCTTTGCTTGACTGGGGCCTCTTCATCCTCAGGTATCACCTTCAGCGTTGCTTTCCATCCTCCTTCTAGTCTAGGTCATGTGCCTCTTCTAGGTGCTCCCATGCACATCCTGCGCCACCTTGTCAATTGGGTTGTAATTGCTTGTTTCATTGTTTAAATTGCTCAAGGATTGAGTTTCTTGAGGGCAGGAACAGAATCATGATCACCGCTGTGTCCCCAGCCTCTAGCACAATGCCTGACAAATAATAGTTATTAAAGCAACAACAATTGCAATGTCTACCACTTATGGAGCAATTACTACATGCCACATATTGTGTTGAGGGTTCCATGTGGATTATCACATTTAATCTTTGTGGTGGAAGCTGTTACGTGCTGCCCAGGTCTCTTTCCAAGAATAAGGGACTTACTCTATCCATTACTGGGAATGCTACAGGAAAAGGGCAAGACACAATCTCATTTATCTGCACATCAATCCTAGCATGCCCAGGCTTTTATTAAACCCATTGAATGGATGAAGAAACCAGCTTAGAGATGTCCAGTAACTTTCCAAAGTTCACATAAAAATCTCAGCTATCCTTCAGGGACAGGCTCAGCTGAAGAAAACTGCCTGACCCATGGTCCCACTTCCTTGGGGGCAACCTGCGTCCAAGGCTGAGCTACTAAGGGGCTTACCAACCTCAGTTCCTTTGCCTCAGCTTAAGACAGGGCCAAGGGACATCCTGGTTCCAGAGTGTCCCCTGGCTTTGGCTGATGTTTTCTTTGGGACTACATCACAGCTCAACTCTGCCCAATCCTGAGGTGTGGCTCTTCAGAGAATTCCCTGAGCAAGTCCTTCTTGCTAACTTTCATAGTCTGCTTCCAGAAACCTGGACTGGAAAAATCTTCTGAGCAGCTTCTGGGTCAGAGATGGTTATGATTTTCCTTTTACAGATGAAGCAATTGAGGTTTTTAGAGTTGCTAACATAAAGCTTTAATTGGTGGAGGTGGGATTTGAATTGAGGCAATTGATTCCAGAGTCCACATTATTAACTGCACTCAATGCATAAGATAAGTAAATCAATGACTTGGCCCCACTGGTCACCAAGAAAAAGTATTAAAAGCTACAATTGAGAAACAAAGCTTGTGCACATAGTTTTTCTCAGTGCTGAGGAAACAAGCAGCAGCCAGTGGCTATGGAAGATTACAAATCAGCTCTAGCAATGATGTGTCCGAGCCTGGTTGACTCATAGCACAGGTCACAGACAGGGGACTCCAGCCCAGCTATGATGGCAAGTTTAAATGAAAATGTCACCCAAAAGATTTCAGTGTCTGGATGATTTGATCCAGCTCTAATGGAACATGAGCTGGCCCACGGGAACAGCCAGTTCTCTCCAATCTATGAAAATTACTGATTATCTCAAGTGGGTTTGTTTGCCTTTGAGATGTTAGCAGAGATTTGCCCACTCAGCCTTGCCTACTGTCCCCAGCTGTCCCCTCCCAGGGGGTTCTTCCTCAATGGGCAGCCTAGACAAGGGGAGGCCAGCACACCCAGAGGGAGTGTGTGGATGGTCAGGTGAATCAGAGAGAGGTGTTAGCACAGAGTGGCAGAGGACATATCTGGTCTGGTTATGCTATGGAGACTCCAATGATAAGTTCTATAAATACACCCTGGTGGAGGTGGAAGGGTGGGAAATCAATATGGCTTAGCTGCAGCATTTCAGATTGCAGCTCTAACTTTGCATCTGTTTGTCATTAAAAGTTAAAGTCGGTGTGTGCTCGAGCCCAGCCACTCCGTGCTCTCTGACCTCATGAGGCAGGTACATCCTGTAACAGGCATCTGTGCCTTTAATCATAAACTATCCTGTTTTGCCGATTAACTGTCTGCATTCTTCCCCGAGAGGATGGCAGGTGCCTTGGAAAGGGGCACTTCAGTATTAAAAGCTTTTTTTTTTTTTTTTTTTTGGAGAGGGAAAAGGGAAAGGGGGAGGGTTGGGGTGAGGGGGTGAGGGCAGTAGAATCCCTGCAATGACAGCCCGGAGAGGGCTGGGCAAGCGTGGGGGTTAGATGGGCAGAGGTCAAGTGGGGGATCATGAAGGAGGTGTGGCGATCTCCAGGCCTGACTGGGGCTGGTGGGACAGAGCTTTCAGGGGCTGGAGGACAGATTTTATCAGGTCTGACTCTGGTTGGCAGGAAGTGAAGGCTTGTCCAGGTTTGTCAGCAGCCTTTGGACATGTAAGCACTGACCTGGCTCCTCTACCCCCACCTCAGACTCTGTCAGGACCTTCCGAGCCCAGAGCTGGAAGGCAAGTGGAGGACAGCCAGCTAGGCGTTGAAAGACAACACATCTTGGGGGAATAACTGCCTCCCCAGCCCCAGGGCCTCAGACCCAACACATCCCAACCTGTTCTCCTCACTTCTATCCCCCAGCCTAAAAAAAAGAAAAGAAAAAAATCAGGGACCCCTGGTAAGATCATCAGGATAGGATCTCATTTTTCTGCCCAGCAATAGAGGAAGCACAGACTTTTATTAAAATCCAATCATTATGGAATGGGGAGCAGGCT